GGATTTGTCTGGTTTCTATAGGACCAGACTAATGAATTAAATAAGAAAATTATGGGGAACATAACTCCAGCATTCTTTAAATAAGGGGTTGGCAACTTATAGCCCATGGGGTAGATGCCGGTTTTTAAAGTTTTATTGATATACAGCCATGCCCTTTTGTTTACTTATTGTCTATGGCTACATTTGTACTATGGCTACAGAGTTGAATGGTTGTAAAAAAAAGACTATATGGCTTATAGGCCTGAAATACTTATTGTCTGGCTCCTTAAGAAAAAAATTACTGATCCTTGTTTTAGAGCTTTAAGAGTGGCACCAAATTTTGCCATTCCACTTGATTTACTACATTGAGTAGAGGCAATTTCAGAGACTTCTTGGACTTCCCCACTATAAAAGCTCTTACTCTATAGACCAAGGACCCAATATGGGAGTTACATCCACCATCAAGTGTGTCTGTCACTGTTACATGTTTGCAGACCGGGGAAATGGCCAGTTGGGCTGATGGATCCATTGGATCTTGGCTAGGAATTTGGTTTATTACTTGGTTCCCATATGTCCTCACTCTCTTGAATCCATGATACTTGGAGTCAATCAAGTATCAGTATCACCTGGGACCTTGTATATAACAGACCTCAAAATGTTTGAGTGTTCCCCTTTCCCTAATGCACACTCAAGTAAATGGTCATAGCTCTTTGGGGAGGGGGGAGGAAGGAATAGTAGAATCATTACTGCATATATTTGCTAGCATATTGCAGAGTCCTCCCTTTCAGGAACCTGGCCTTTTCTTCAATAAATAGCTGGAAGTATATCATAGTACATCCTACAGGACCTTGATACAAGCTCTGGACTCTCACCACCTCTTTTGTACCTCATCTACAATTATTCTCCCCTTTGCTCTAGTCACACTGGCCTCTTGTCATTGCTCACATACTAAGTTTGTTTTCTGTACTTGGAGCATTGCTTTCCTACGTGGCTTATGCCTTAGCTGCGTTCAAAATATATTTTCTTAGAGAGGCCGTGCCCGATCACTTCTACCAAAATAAATACTTTAATCCATCACTCTGTATCCTCTTTAGTTTTCTTCATAGTTCTTATTTATCATGTATCTGTTCATTTGTCTCTCACTCCCTGTCATGACATCCATAGGGGCAGAGATTTTTCTCCTGCCTTGTTTACTGACTTTTGTAGAATAGTCAGTAACATGTAGTAGGCTCTCCATGAATATTTGTTGAATGAAGGAATATTGTATTTTGAGAAAATTGAAATATTTCATATGAAAAAAATGCTTATTTTTTACCATGTCAGTAATACCTGTGTTGATGTATAAATTTTTGGACATACATCATTTAGTAAAACTGTTACATGGAAATTAATGAACAGTGTAAATTTCAATGAAATTTAGTTGAAAATTGCAACTACTGAATAATAAATGAAATTAATAACACATGAGAACTATGATTATTAAGTATTTACATAGGTTTGCATGTGTAAAAAGTGACAGGGAAAAGGAGGAACATGATTACTATGTAAAGTTATTTATGGGAGTATTGTGGACTTTGGAAGAACTATTTCCTAAATTAATTTAGCCTCTTTTAAAGAAAAAGCTCTGGATTTTACCAGAAGTGAAAATTTGGACCTCAGAAATCAGATGAATCTGTGTGACCTTGGATTAAATAACTTTTTCGTATCACACAATTGCATAGGTATAAAATGAATCAATATTGATAAAACCTACCTCATAGACTTGTAAGTATTAAATGAGATTAAGTATGTAAAGATAAAAATTAGCTTTTCTCAACATTTCATCATTATTTAGGAGTATTTCATATGCTTGTCAGATTTTAAGTATCTAAGTAGCTCAGTTTCTGAAGTTCTAAGTAGCTCTAAACATAAATTCCTTTATCTTGAGTCAATGTTTCCCAATTTATATATGTAAATTAAGAACTGTTAGACATACATAAAACTTTTGTTTCAACAGAAATGAATTAGAGAAGAGGTATGATTATTTAAATGATGATATGTTTGCTAAATGAGTTAATTATATTTCAGAGGGCCAGTATTTTTCCTTTGCAGGATATCTAAATTATCCTTAGGACTTAATTCTCAAACATGTTAGCACATGGATAAACTGACTTTTTTTTTTTAAGTAGCTAACAATCTTGTTTATTTCTATGCCTTCATCTAATCAGATAGCTTTCCTATAATGGAAATCTTAGAGAAACTGGATTAATATGACTGCTATTTTTCAGTTATTTGACTACTATAAAAGAGACTTTTATAGGTAAAATGTAAAGTCTTTAAAAATTTTTTAATACCTATTTATATTGTTTTGTGTTACTGCTCGATGTTAATTTTTTTCTTTTAGCAATTAGTGATATTAACAGTCATAAAGGTTATATGGTTTTCTTATAAAATATGAACCAGTTTGAAAGTTGACATTGGATTCTATTTACAGATAGGCATGTGACAGTGTATCAGTTGTCTGATAAAATTATTGGTTGGTCATTTAATTAGAATGTTTATAAATATAAGTAGAAATTTTAAAAGACATGATCAGTGATGTGCATATGCCTTCGTGTGGCAGTTTTTACCTTTTTAGCTTCACCTATTATCCTTACCATCTAACTTTAGGTACAAGGAACTACTCGTAGTTTCCCATAGTTGCCATTCAGTTTTACATAGCAATAGAACAGAATGATTTAAATCTCAGCTCAGCTTGTGTTACCTTGGTTAAGTAATTAACCTCTCTTAACCTTTGTTTCCTCATTGTAAAGTGGGGGGTAAAATAGGACCTTCCTTACAGGTCTTATGAAGAGAGTAGTAAATGAGGTAATACGTGTAAAGTGTTTATGTGAGATGTTATTTTTGTTGGTACATATTCCTGTTCTTATCGTGATGGTTATTCTTAGTCTGACTGAAATTCATCCTCTCATTCCTCCTCTCACATCAGACTGGTGAATGATTCTCTCAAGTACCAGTGTGGTGGTGGTGGTGGTGATGATAAAAAAGAACAAGATTATTATCTGTTGGCCTTAATTGTCACCTCTCATGTTCCTCCAGATGTGGTCCTTGTCATCTAGTCCATCTGCTCAGTTCCCCTAATAGGCTAAGTTCTATCTACTCTTTCCCTAATGGTCGGGAAAAATATTTGTTCCATTATTGTCTGGCTGATTTTTCTTCTTTATTCTAGTCTCAGTTTAAGTGTTGGTCCTCAGAAAGTTTGCCTGATGTAATGCCTACTTCTTGCCAGTCTTCTACCCTTTCTATCTTCCTATCATGTCTGTTCCTGTTGTATAGTCTTAGATCCAGGACTTTTCTTTCGCTTACATTTATCACAGTTGTAACTAGTTATGTCTGTACTTGTTTAATGTTGGCCTCCTTACCTAGAAGATCATTTCTATGAGGCCTTGCAGGAACCCTGTCTATTGAATTAACATCTATATTCTTAGTGCCTACTACTATGCCCAGCACATAGCAGTTGCTCAGCAAAATTTGCTGAATTACTAAATACCGCATTTCTGTTGCCCAGCTACCTGTTGAGGTAATAACTTAGCAGTATTAATATTAAAGTTTGCACACATTCTTAGTTTTACTTATCACATACGATTGCATTCTTTATTTATAATTTTTCCCCTATTAGGCTGTGAGTTTCTTGAGGTTACAGTTTTTTAATATATCTTTTTATTCCAAAGCCTAACAGAGTGCTTGGCACTGGAAATTTTATTGTTCAGTGAATGTTTATCAATGAAAATATGTTTTTAAAATATGATTAACAAATGGAAAATTTTGCAGATACTAGAATTCAAACTGGAATCACCAGCAAATGCTACTAGTTTAAGTTACATGCTAAGAGGGCGGCAATATATGATACCCATTTGCATGAAAGAAGGTAGTATGAAAAATATGTAAATTAGTGTGTATTAGTTTAAAAAATTCATTGTCAGCTGATGGTGAATATTTGAATGTTTAGTTTCTTGATTGGGTCTTCTACTCTAATATTCTTTTTTTTTCATAATTAATGCTTTTTTCCTGAGAAAATTTAGAAAATTGTATCCTGCTTTTTTGTGAACATTTTTTCTCATTGCATTTAATTTTTTTCAGCATGATTTTAATAAGTACATAGTTTTCATCCTGTAAGTTTGTCATAATTTTTCAATAATTATTTTATTGAATATTTATGTAAACAGTTTTTAGGTATCATACATAACAGTGAACATTCTGCAAAAATTGTGTTCATATCTGCTTTTCCCGTAGAATTTTAAAAGTAGAATTACTGGGGTGCCTGGGTGGCTCAGTCGTTAAGCATCTGCCTTTGGCTCAGGTCATTGTCCCCGGGTCCTGGGATTGAGTCCCACATCGGGCTCCCTGCTCTGCGGGAAGCCTGCTTCTCCCTCTCCCACTCCCCCTGCTTGCGTTCCCTCTCTCTCTCTGTCTCTCTCTGTCAAATAAATAAATAAAATCTTAAAAAAAAATAAAAATAAAGTAGAATTACTGGATTAAAGGGTATGAGCATTCATAATACTGTTTATGTTATCAAATTTTTACTTGTTGTCCTCCAAAAATACTTACCTGTTAACGTTTCTAATAAAAATGAGTGTCTGAATTTCAGTTTACCCTCTCCTGTATTGCATATTATAATTACCAAAAAACCACTTTGTCAGTGTGTTCGAGGTTAAAAAAAAGTGATAATTTGACCTTATTTGATTGTTAGTGAGGCCACATATGTTTCCTGTTGTATGTCTTCTATAAATTGTGTCCTTTGCTCATTTTCCCAATGGGATGTTCTATCTAGTCATAATACTGTTCTAATATTTTAATATCCTAATTTTTATTAATTTGATTTTTTAAAATTAATAACCTTGTATATTTTAATAATAATGTGTTTAAATGGTAATTTAATTCCATTTTAAGCTCTCACATAGTAAAACCTGCTTCATTTTTGCAAGTAACATTAAGATATCTTCTATGAAACTTTTTTAAAGAACATTTATTTTGTAAACTAGGAGCCTTTTGTGGCAGATGAGTATATTGAACGACTTGTGTGGAGAACCCCAGGAGGAGGCTCTAGAGGGGGTCCTGAAGCTTTTGATCCCAAAAGGTGAAGTAAAAATGTTTTTTTCCCCATAGATCCAATCTAATATAAATTTGTGTTTGGAATAAAGGTGACTATTGAAATTCTTTCCAAACCCCTTTTACAGCCTGGGGTTTATTTTCTTTTATATTTCTTTTATTTTAGAGAAGGACTTTAACTGGTGTGAGGGGATTTTATTGTGTTGTAAGAATTTAATATTTTCTCCAATTAGTAATATACTAGAAAAGGTTGGTTATATCTCTAAAATAAAAACATGTTGAATATGTTGTTTTAAGTATAGTTGTAAATTAAAGGAACAGAAAGTCACTGTTCCCTGGAATGCACACTGTTATTTTTATATACTGTATAAAATTTTTATATCATATATATTAAAAATACATATTTTTTTATCTTTTTGACTATTTTCTATAAAATTGATTTCTATTCTGGAAGGTAGTAGATATTCTGGGTGAGGTTTTCATTCATGTCAAAGATAATCCCTAAGATGCTCTCGAGAAAATTAACATAATCATCCCTACCTTAAGGAACGCTTATTGATACTTTATTACAAGTGAACTGGCCGGTTCCTAATGATTAATCATAGATGGATTGATACATATTCTGATTTTCCTCTATTAGGTTATTAGAAGAATTTGTAAATCATATTCAGGAACTACAGATAATGGATGAAAGGATTCAAAGGAAAGTAGAGAAACTAGAGCAACAGTGTCAGAAAGAAGCCAAGGAATTTGCCAAGAAGGTGCAAGAGCTCCAGAAAAGCAATCAGGTAAGCAGTTAAGCTATCAATAGTTTACACAGGTTATCTTTATTTCCTTCCACCATTAAGTTCTTAAAAAACTCTAGTCAAATAATAGTAACTGTTGAGGTTTCTCAACTGTTCCCATCCCTGGGGAAAAATGTCAATGAACTGTTATCAGGCACTCTTAGCACTGACTTGCTGTTGATCAGTGGTTTGGGATCATGGCACTCCCTTCTTAGGTTGGAGTGGTATCCAGTACAGTCACAGTGGGCAAACTTTGAAGAATGACAATGTAGCAGACCTGCATTTTTAGGGGCTCATGATTAGCTTGGATAGTTAGGTAGTCATTTGTATTCTCATTAAGCATAAAACAGAGTAATACCAGAACAGCTGTTGCCTGGATCAGATTTTTCCCTAATCTTGGAAGTTTTACAGAAGTCATGGGGTATATACCCCTGTGAGAACTGTAGTATAACTATGGGGAGAGTGGATACAGAATTCTTCCTCAATCCATTTTGGAGTAAAATCAGTAGCCCACCCCTGGGATAAGTAGGCCAAACTTCTAAGCCATTCTTAAATCCTAAACTGAATCTGGAACCTGTGAAACCCTTTTACAGCCTGGGCCTGATCTGGGACTTGATTGCCCTTTGTAAGTATAGTTGATGGAGTCCTGTTTAGCATTGCTGCCTCCCAGGGGCTGTTCTTAGTGTTAGGCATTAGCAAACTGATTTCTGCTCAAATTTTATTTATTTGATTTCCTTCACTTAAGTACATATGGCTGTGAAAAAATACTTAATAAAGTCAGTAATTTACGTAAGATAGAAAATGTGTTTTTAAGTAGTCAAAGTGATAGATTCCAAATATTTATAATGCAGTTTTCTCTTGGTAAAAATAATAGTATTAATAGTTAATCTAACAAGCTTTGGAGATAGTCTGTTCTGCCACTTACTAGCTATATAATCTCAAACAAGTTAACTTCCCTGTGCCTCAGTTTTTTCCATCTATAAATTAGGTTGTTATAAGGATTAAATAAGTAAATATATGTAATATGCTTAGAACAGTGGCACAGAGGAAGTCCTTAGTGAATATTTGCAGCTCCCCCCTCCCTCACCTCTTAACTTAAAGTTAGAACAAAAGTGCCATACCATACTGAATTATCAGCAATTGTGTTATTGGCAATTCTAAGGCATTCATTATACATAATTTTCAAAAACCACAGGATAATCTGTGTACTCTGGAAAAAAGGGAAGAATATATTAGGAAGTATTGTACCTTTGCTTCAATTGAATAATTGTTATAGTCTTTTATGTTTTCAAAACTGGGCAAGAACCATCTTACCTTATTTCATTGCTCTTTGGATATTTAAAAATAAATGTTAAATGCTCTTTTTAATTAGTGCCTTTTATTTCTGACATTTTTGACTCAGTAGCAAGCAAATTGTTCCTATCACTGGTCCCTTTGATACTTAGTTCATTGATTTCAGAATCATTATTTAGGACTAAATTATACTGGGAATATTGTTAAACAGGATACTATTTTATTGCTTAACAAATGTTCATGATAAAATATTACTTTAATAGTTAAAGGCATAAAAGTGTGCAACTTTGTTAAAAAGTTTTCAGATCATGCAGTGCTAATGGGCATAAATTGTTTCTGTAGTTTAGCTCACATATAACTTCTATGTTATCTTTAGTTACCTAAGTTAGAGAGTAGAGATGAGATTGGTGGTCTAGTTTTGATACGAATTCACTTATAAACTGGGTTCTCTGATTGTATTTTATGCTTATGCGCATTTTTCCCAGGTTGCCTTCCAACATTTCCAAGAACTAGATGAGCACATCAGCTACGTAGCAACCAAGGTCTGTCACCTTGGAGACCAGTTGGAAGGGGTAAACACACCTAGACAACGGGCAGTAGAGGCTCAGAAATTGATGAAATACTTTAATGAGTTTCTAGATGGAGAATTGAAATCTGACGTTTTTACAAATTCTGAAAAGGTGAGTACTGTCAGAAGGATAAAAGCACCTGCATCATTAATAACAATGCCCAAATTATGAACTATATTTATTACTTTCCAGTTATTACTTTCAAATCACCGAGTAGCTGACTTATTAAAACTTTTTATTGTTCTGAAGTGTGTTTAGTATACTTGCCTGCAGATTACTGATGAAGTTTATATATTCAGATTTTTAATTGCAGGATTGTCTGGAATTTTTGTTTATGAAATTATATGTGAAAATGCTGAGGTAACTGTGTTAATAAGTATTTCTTTTCCATTGTTGACTTTTAATATTAACAAAATTTAATAGTTATATTCCATTGGGTGAGGATATAGTCTGACCTAAATCACTGATAGGCAGAAGTATCTTTCTGCAAAAGGAATTCAGAGCTTCTAATTTCTGTTACTTGAAAAAGAGTGCTTATAAAGAATTCAAGCATAGTTTGGACTAAAGAGAATTGAAAAATCTGAATTGTTTATGTTAATCCTTTTCTTTGCATTAGTCACTTAATACTGGTACATGGTATTGGCTGTTCTCCAATCTTGAAAGGAGGCTATTTAGCTGACTTTCTTCCTCCCAGGGGGGAAAAATCAAAATGCACAAAAAAAAAAGACATTCGTATAGGTAGTATATGCATATGGTAACATTGTCCACTAATATATAAATACAGTCTCCCTGAATTATTCCGAGTTTACTCCATGGAATATTTTTGATAGTGGAAAGTTAAAAGTTCTGTATTGTTAAAGTTTACATTGAATTAAGCAACACATTTTTGTGAGTGGGAACTGTATAGGCTTATAGAATTTATAATTTTTAGAGAACTTTGAAAAAACAGTTACATATACATAATTCCTCTAAGGAAAAGATAGTATTTTAAATAATGAGTTTAAGCAATTATATTTATATTATAAAGTTGAACTGACAGAGTAACATTAAGATTATCATATTTAAACACTTGTTAAACAGTGGCAATATCTAGCTTTTATTAGATTTATGTGATTTTTAAGCATAAGAGTAAATACACATACATACAGACACACACCCCAATGCTTGAACAATGAACTTTTTCAGGATAGTTTTTATATTTACTAAATATAAACATATATTTATAATATAAAAGTATATATGCATATTATAAATATGTTTTAAATATGAAAAATTATATAATTTAACATTTATAACTTGGATTACCTTGGATTATACCTGTAGGATTATGTAATCTATTTATGCTGTTATAAACCAAATGCAGATATTATATCCAATGTGGGTTGTCCTATTTATTTGAATGCAGCTCCAGGCAGCCATTTAGGATCTAGGGAAAGAAAATATAACTGATCATACATATTTTTAATCCGATTTTTTATTACTTGCAATATTTTATATCATGAAATTAAGTTCTTTACACTTTTTTTAAACATTTCAATTATCCTCAGGTAGTTGTATAGTTCTTGGTATTACTGTTACCTCTTAAGTTTTGAGGTTTTAATTGAAAGAAAAAGTCTTCATATTGCTAGTTCATTCACTTGGTCACTTAGCTATCTGTAATTTTTGAGGTGCAAGTATAGACTAACAGCTTTTAAGTGAATTCCTCTTCTCCTTTGCTTCACTCTTCTCTATATTCCATTTTCTTTCATTTTGTGTTCCTTTGTTTTTTTAAGATTTAGTTGTTTGGGAGAGAGAAAGAGAGAGTGTGCACACATGTTGGGGGGGAGGGGCAGAGGGAGAAGCAGAGAATCTCAAGCAGACTCCCTGCTGAGCGCAGAGTGAGGAGCCCAATGTGGGGCTCGATCTGATGATGCTGAGATCATGATCTGAGCCAAAACTAAGTCAGACACGCAACAGACTGAGCCACCCAGGTGCCCTGTGTTCCCTTTCTCTTATATTTTATTCCTTTTTTCCCCCTGATCGTCTTTTCTCCCATGTCTTCCATAAGTTTTGGGTTACTGTTTGCTAATAGTGAATCATTATTTTTGGCTTGGTACTATTGCAGTTAATTACACTTAGGAACTCATATATGGTATTAGATTGCTAATTATCAGATAAACTTCTGGCTTTCTCAATTTCTACCTTCCCAAAGGAAAGAAGAGCCAGATCACCCACATAGCTAGGGAAGTGTATGATTGTGGAAGGAACTGAAATGGGATAAGATATCCACACATCTTCCTGCTCCATAGTCATTTTTGTTTTTTTAATCTTTGTTTTTTAGAATCTTTTAATTTTCTTCCCTAGAAAAGACCTATTTTATGTCCATATTATATATTTCCTCTTACCTCTGTTCTTACAAAATGTGTTAGTTGTTTTTGTCCCTAGAATCACACCTTATTGTGCTTCATGTAGATAATGCCTGATGACTCTGATTATCTTTAACACTGTTAGCATGGGCGGTCTCTCACCTCACTCTACATGTAAGCAAATTAGATTAGATTGTGGATTTGGCAATTTCTGTACTTACTGTTACAGTACATTTTAACTGATGGATGACTGTAAGAACTGTTGTGCTTTAAATGATTTTTACAAAATAATTACCTATAGAAGTTCAGTAAAATCAAGTGTTATTTGTTACTCTATTTCCACTACATTTAAGCAAAGTTTGCAAACAGCATACAATGGGGACTTCCATCTCTTAAAAGATAAGAACACATTCCTGATGGAAACAGAACTGGCTGTGGACCAGGCAAGTCTTTTCTGAAGGGGATATTGGTGAGGAGAAAAGGATGGATATTGCCAGTCCAACTAAATGGCCCATGTGCAGCAGGATTGAGTGAGTGATAACTGAAAATGACAGTGACATGCTGACTAGGAGAGAAGAGATAATGGAAACCGAAATGCTATATTCATTATTGTTTGACAACAGTGCTATCCTTTCTTTGGCCCTGCTGTTATCCACTGTTGCTTGCCAGACTTCACATGAGTACATAGTTAGAAAGATCTATAGTAATGTTTTTAGCTCTTCCTTCATGTTTTTAAGAGTCTCTTTATTTTTTAGGTAAAAGAAAGTGAATGATTATAAAATCAATTACTGAAGTATGACAAAATAAATCTCAGTACTTACGTGACATTTAAAGAAAGTGAATATTATATAACTCCCCTACACATTAGTAAGCGCAGTCACATATTTGCATTTTAAGAACTTTAGACCCTTGACCTTAGTCCTTTAGTTTTACAACTTAAGTACACACGTTTTTGTACCATATTTCATTCAGGAGACTTCATATTAAATTCTATCTTTGCTTTTAGAACAAGTTTTATAAATATATTTATTAAATGACAGGTGTTTTTATTGTTTTATGCATTTAGCTTAAAGTGAGATACATGCAGCAATATAATCTGAATTATTTTCATATATCTTATTTGTCTTTTTTGGGTACATAAACCAGAAGAGATACTACTTTTCAGCAAGCAATGACTTGAATTTTTTCCAAGTAAATTTGATCTGCAGGTTTCATTGGGAAGGGACTGTGGTATTATAAAACCGCAGAATTTCAATATCAGAAAGACAAATGTTTATGTTTTATTGACTCATTATTAGTGATATCCCAGATGTCTTTCTGTTGCTTGAAAGGTTTTATTTTTGTGGATTTTAAAAGAAAATTGTTGGAGTGAGGGTCTGTGGGCTATTTTCAAGTATAAAAATATTTTTGATATACATAAGGGCTTTTTTAAAAATTATTGCTTTCAATTTTTTTTGAATAGATAAAGGAAGCAGCAGACATCATTCAGAAGTTGCACCTAATTGCCCAGGAGTTACCTTTTGACAGGCAAGTTTATTTCTCAAGACCTAATTTTGATATGTGCTATAATTTATAGATAAAGTTGTATTTTTCCCTGTATGGTTTTGCTTATTCAACAAGAATTTATTGAGTACCCCCTTTGTACAACTCATAGTATATAATAGTTAATTGAAAAAATATGGTCTCTTAATACCTACATTTAATGATATACCTTGAAATACTTTCAGTCCTTTATCTTTCTTCTGAAAAGAAATTGCTGAAGGAGAATTTTGAAATTTACTAACGTGATACTTTGAATTTTCATTTTTTGGACTTTGATAACCTAGGTGGGAGAGGACAGGGAAAGTTTAAACATTGGGTCATTCAGCTGTTTTTTCTTATATCTAGATGAGAATTCTTAAACTTTTGGGGTTTTAGACACCTTTGAAAAGCTGATGAAAGCTATAAAGTTTCTTCAAATAACTCAGATACACACAGATTATTATTTGCAACTTCATGGAATTTTAGACTCTTAGCCTATCCACAGACTCCTCCCTAGGGACATCAGGTTAAGAAACCTTGCTTTAGATGCAAGGCCCTAGGGCCATTGCTAAGTCAGGTATTAATGGTTTCATTTTAAAAGAAACTTTATGGAGAAGGAGATTTTTTTTTCATGATTTCCTTTAGTCCGTAGAATGTCAGACTTTTTAATAAAATCTTGGTAATAGTAGTTTCCTCATATGAATGTGTGAAAAAAATAAGTCTTCATGTAACAGACAATATATCTGTTACTACTTTTGGCAGTACTTGGGGATTCTTGGGTACAGGTAGAATATAAATGTATTGCTGTACTTAAAGCTTGTGATACAAATGTAGGGTGAGAATGAATTCCTTACCCCCAAAATACATCTTATTTTATCCCAACTCTGAATCATCATATAGGATTAGCAGTGATGGCCATGTCATTTAGCGATTGCTAATAATAACCTCATATTTTCCCAGCACTGTGAATCATGATTTTTTAAATGAATAGTTCTGTTTTATTTATTAAAATTGTATTTTACTAAGGTCAGAAAGATATTCTCATATGTTTTATAAAGAAGCATTAGTCATTAAAACATAGTTAAATGGGAAAAAATCTTTTGTTATATTACTGCAATTTATTGAAGAGATTTAGCTCATAATTTGTGTTAAAATATACTTTGAGGGGTGCCTGGGTGGCTCAGTCAGTTAAGTGTCTGCCTTCGGCTCAGGTCATGATCCCAGGGTCCCAGGATTGAGCCCGTGTCAGGCTCCCTGCTTGGCAGGGAGTCTGCTTCTCCCTCTGCCCCTCTACTGCTCACTCTCTCTCAAATAAATAAATAAAATCTTTAAAATATATATATATACTTTGAAATAAATTAGAAAAGAAATGGGATCTTCAAAATATAAATATTTTAGTATATTGCTTTATCCTCACCAAGAACTATCATACCCATCTCCTTGATTGATTGATTGATTTTTAAAGTTTATTTAAGTAATCTCTACACCCAACATGGGGCTTGAACTCCCAACCCAGAGATCAAGAGCTTCATGCCATAGTGACTGAGCCAGCCAGGTGCTTCATGAGTAATGATTTTTAAAGTCACCAGAAAAACCTCTCTTTATCTCATTTCAGAGTTGGACCATTTACTTAAGTGGGTAAAATGTGTGGCTCACAATAGGTGCTTGATAATTATTGGATAATCTCTCCATCCTATTCTACATATACACATCTTCTTTCACTTCTCAGTTACATACATCTCTTACAGTTTTGTTTTAGCCTCTCTCCTGAGCCTTGGAATTGAATATATATCCTAATTAGATTTAATTTTTTCAGAAAGATCACATGGCCTTACATGCACTCTCTAATCTACCATCACGTTGATATATCAATTTTGTATAACTCTCTAAGTTTTTATTACCTTCTTTATCTGTCTATGCCATCTCTTTGCCAGCCACCTTCCTCTCTCCAAACTGATTGCATAGGATCTCTCAACATTAATTTTCCGTGATGTACTTTCTTCCTTGATATTTAAGATTTTAAAAATTTCTAGTGTATGGTAGTATGTGATATTTTAGTTTCTGAATTTGCAAAGATTGAATGATTAGTCTGTAAGACACGTTGCTGGGTCCTTTTTATGACTTCTCTTTTATTTTTCATATACTTATTTTATCATTCTTTTTCGTTTAAATAACAGTAATGGAATTTTGTATGAAAAAATCCCAACAGAAGGGGCAAATAGACAAGTATCAAGGAATTTAAAATGTTAGTGAATGTGTTGAGACAACAGCTCAGTGTTGGGGCTGGTGGAGTTGTCAGTGCCTCATATAGAACTTCTCCCTCTTTAAGAAGTTATTGTTATTCAATGTGAATTTCATAAATGAAAACCAGCTACCCCATCTGAATTGTCCAAATTCAGTTTTGTTACCTGGCCTGCTTATTGTCAGTACTCTTTCCCTTCTGGCTGGCTGGCTTTCTTCCTTTCTTTCCTTTCTTCTCTTTCTTTTTTTTTCTTCCCTCCCTTTCTTCCTTCCTTCCTTATGATTACCTTTAGTACAAAGGGTTCCCTTATACCCCCCAGACTCTTTTTCCGCTTTTATTAACATCTTAGATTACTATGGTACATTTGTCACTACTAATGAATCTTATCATTAATTCTTATCTTTCAGGTTTTCAGAAGTAAAATCCAAAATTGCAAGTAAGTTTTTAATAGTATTTAAATAGTATTTAAAAGTATTTAAAATAGTATTAGTTTTGAATAGATGATAAAAATACTTATGTAAAAGAAAAAAAATAGTAAAAGGAGAGATAGTGGGAACAATGTCATCCTCCCACCCCATCCCTGAGTTTGATTCCTCTTCCTTGAAACAGTCATTACCAGTTTCTTGGGTATTCTTCTAGAGTATGCTCTGGATATATAAGCATAGGACATAAATCACACATATATATATACACACACACACACATATCTATATCTATATGTATCTATATCTATATATAGAGAGAATTTAGTTCTACTCTCCCCAGTTATTTTAAAATAATTGGCTAGCATATACCATGTGTTTTTAATTTAATGATACATCTTGGAGATTGTTTTATATCCATACATGTATCTCTAAAATAGGTTCTTTTTCTTAAAAGCCAAGCTCATATGAGCATTTTGGTACCTATATGACTCCTTACATGATTAGTTTTATTCTTTCCAATCTTTGGATTATATTTTAAATAGGTCAGTCTAGGTCTCTGGAAAAGCCACTATATTTGCAGGCCCCCATGGTAACCTGAGTCACGTTTGGGATGCCACTGCATAGAAAGTTCAAAGAGCCACCTGTTTTCCCAGAAGTGTTATCATAATGACATAGATAGTTGGACTTCCTGGCACTGTTTTTGATTACTATAGATTAGTCCAAAGTCAGGTTTTCATTCAGAACATTAGTAGCCTCAATAATGTAGTGAATCAGACACCATATATTATCTTAAGGTGAGATTTGGTGTTGAATCCACCATTGTTCATGGTAAAGACATCTGATCTCTAGTAAGGAGTTTTATAGTCCCCTTCACCCTTTCTGTAGCTTTAGGTTTAAGATTTTTTCCTATCTCATACTATCAGAAATGACATCTAGAGGTTTATCTCAGTCATCTGCTTTTTTAAGTAACAGTGGTAAATGGTAATCAGACCATGGGGGTTCAGCTGTTTACTGGTTGGGAAGATTTTCTTGTCTTGAAAATATAGATTTATATATCATATATTATAAGGGCTAGATTCACTGCCTGTAATCTAATATTGTATTTGTAAGTCCTTAAAAAGAAAGCTAGATCCATAGTCATTATATTTGTAAATAATTCATATGTTTGTAAATAACTTGGATACCTTGAATGTCTCATTATAGATGAATGACTTTCTTTTTATGTTTAGGTAAATATCATGATTTAGAATGCCAACTGATTCAGGAGTTTACTAGTGCTCAAAGAAGAGGTGAAATCTCCAGAATGAGAGAAGTAGCAGCAGTTTTGCTTCATTTTAAGGTAAATAGTAATAAAAACAAAGTTTAGTTTTCAATATTGTGGAGATTATATAAATTCTATATAGGATAGTCTCTGATTTTATTATAGTTGTGTGACTATATCACAGTGATAATTTTTATTGTTTTGAACAATTTGAATATACATTTCACATCTCCATAAATGTTAAATTTTAGGTATTTAATATTTTATATTCAATAATATTAATATTTTATCAGTTAATTTTTATATAGGTTGACATAGAAAAATCATACTATCTTCTTGTTTTTTAAATTATTTTTTCAGTCAAACATGTACAAAATAGGTCATAAGCAAGAAGATTTAGCCTTAAATATCTGGTAGGATGTAGGAACGAGAGAGTAGATGGAATGTAACTAGTAAAAGATTTAAATTAAATTCAGAGGATCTCAGGTGGTAATACAAAGGAATATTGTCTTCTGGGAATTTGAATTAGGGAAAGAATCCCTGTATGGCATTGTATTTCTACAAAGAAGGTACTTAAAGAAATAGGGTTTGCTTAGTTTCAGACCACGATGCTATGAAACCAGAGTCAACCAGAAGAAAACAAATACATGGAAGGTAAAGAACATCCTACTAAAGAATGAATGGATCAACCAGGAAATTGAAGAATTAAAAAAATACATGGAAGCAAAGGAAAATGAAAACATGACAGTCCAAAACCTTTGGGATGCAGCAAAAGTGGTCCTAGGAGGGAAGTATATAGCTATACAGGCCTTCCTCAAGAAGCAAGAAAAGTCTCAAATACACACCCTAACTTTACACCTAAAGGAGCTGAAAAAAGAATAGCAAATGAAGCCTAACTCCAACAGGAGAAGGGAAATAATAAGGATTAGAGCAGAAATAAATTATATAGAAGTAAAAAAAAAAAAAAACAGTAGAACAGATCAACAAAACTAGGAGCTGGTTCTTTGAAAGAATTAACAAAATTGATAAACCCCTAGCCAGACTTATCAAAAAGAAAAGAGAAAGGACCCAAATAAATAAAATCATGAATGAACGAGGAGAGATCACAACGAAAAAACGATAGAAATACAATTGTAAGAGAATATTATGAGCTATTATATGCCAACAAATTTGGCAATCTGGAAGAAATGGATAAATTCCTAGAAACATATAAACTACTAAAACTAAAACATGAAGAAACTGAAAACCTGAATAGACCCATAACCAGCAAAGAAATTGAATCAGTAGTTAAAAATCTCCCAACAAATGAGTCCAGGGCCAGGTGGCTTCCCAGGATAATTCTCCAACATTTAAAGAAGAATAAATAGCTATTCTTCTGAAACTGTTCCAAAAAATAAAAATGGAAGGAAAACTTCCAAACCTATTCTGTGAGGCCAGCATTACCATGATCCCAAAACCAGACAAAGACCCCCACTAAAAAGGAGAATTACAGACCAATATCCCTGGTGAATGTGGATGTAGAAATTCTCAACAAGAATGATACTAGCTAATAGAATCCAATAGTCCATTATAAGGATTATTCACCACCACCAAGTGGGATTTATTCCTGGGCTGTAGGGGTGGTTCAGTATCTGCAAATCAATCATTGTGATACACCACATTAATAAAAGAAAGGATAAGAGCCATATGATCTTCTCAATAGATGGAGAAAAAGCATTTGACAAAATACAGCATCTTTTCTTGACAAAACCCTCAAGAAAGTAGGAATAGATGGAACATACCTAAACATAATAAAGGCCATATATAAAAGACCCACAGCTACTATCATCCTCAATGGGGAAAAACTGAGAACTTCTCCCCTAAGGTCAGGAACACGACAAGGGATGTGCACCACTGCTGTTGAACATAGCATTGGAAGTCCTAGCCTCTGCAATCAGACAACAAAAAAAAAAAGGCATCCAAATCAGCAAGGAAGAAGTCAGGCTCACACTTCACAGATGACATGATACTCTGTAGAAAACCTGAAAAGACTCCTCCAAAAAACTGCTACAGCTGATACAGAAATACAGCAGTGTCACAGGAAATAAAACTACAAAGAAGTCTGTTGCATTTCTATACACCAGTAATGAAGCAGCAAAAAGAGAAGTCAAGGAATTGATGCTATTTACAATTGCACCTAGAACCATAAGATACCTAGGAACAATCCAACCAAAGAGGTAAAAGATCTGTACTCTGAAAACTATAGAACACTTGTGAAAGAAATTGAGGAAGACACAAAGAAATGGAAAAACATTCTATGCTCATGGTTTGGAAGAATAAGCATTGTTAAAATGTCTGTACTACCCAAAGCAATCTGCACATTCAGTGCAATCCCTATCAAAATAACACCAGCATTTTTCACAGAGCTGGAACAAACAATCCTAAAATTTGTATGAAACCAGAAAAGACCCCAAATAGCCAAAGGAATGTTGAAAAAGAAAACCAAAGCTGGTGGCATCACAAGCTATATTACAAAGCTGTCATCATCAAGACAGTCTGCTACTGACACAGAAACACATAGATCAATGGAACAGAATAGAGAACCCAGAAATGGACCTACAACTCTGTGGTCAACTAATCTTTGACAAAACAGGAAAGAATATCCAGTGGAAAAAAGACAGTCTCTTCAACAAATGGTGTTGGGAAAATTGGACAGCCACATGCAGAAGAATGAAACTGGACCACTTTCTTACACCATACACAAAAAAATTCAAAATGGATGAAAGACCTAAATGTGAGACAGGAATCCATCAAAATCCTAGAGGAGAACACAGGCAGCAATCTCCTTGACCTCAGACGCAGCAACTTCTTATTAAATACGTCTCCAGAGGCAAGGGAAATAAAAACAAAAATGAACTATTGGGACTTCAAGATAAGCTTCTGCACAGCAAAGGAAACAGTCAACAAAACTAAAAGGCAATGAATGGAGGGCACCTGGGTGGCTCAGTCGTTGAGCGTCTGCCTTCGGCTCAGGTCATGATCCCAGGGTCCTGGGATAGAGTCCCGCATCAGGCTCCCTGCTTGGCAGGAGGCCAGCTTCTCCCTCTCCCACTCCCCCTGCTTGTGTTCCTTCTCTCGCTGTGTCTCTCTCTGTCAAATAAATAAACAAAATCTTTAAAAAAAAAAAAAAAAGGCAATGAATGGAATGGGAGAAGATATTTGCAAATGACATATCTTATAAAGGGCTAGTATCCAAAATCTGTAAAGAACTTACCAAACTCAACACCAAAAAAACCCCCCAAAAAATCCAGTCAAGAAATGGGCAGAAGACATGAACAGACATTTCTCCAGAGAAAACATACAAATGGCTAGGAGACACATAAAAAACGCTCTACATCACTGGGCATCAGGGAAATACAAATCAAAACCACAATGAGATACCACTTCAAACCAGTTAGAATGGCTAAGATTAACAAGTCAGGAAACAACAGATGTTGGTGAGGATGTGGAGAAAGGGACACCGTTGGTGGGAATGCACACGGGTGCAGCCACTCTGGAAACGGTATGGAGGTTCCTCAGAAAGTTAAAAATAGAACTACCCTATGATTGGGCAATTGCACTACTAGGTATTTACCCAAAGAATACAAAAACACTGATTCAAAGGGGCACGTGCACCTCGAGGTTGATAGCAACAATGTCCACAATAGCCAAAATATGGAAAGAGCCCAGATGTCATCGACTGATGAATGGATCAAAGATGTGGTGTATGGTGTATATATACAATGGAATATTATTCAGGCATCAAAAAGAATGAAACCTTGTCATTTGCAGTGATGTGGTTGGGACTAGAGTGTATTATGCTAAGCAAAATAAGTCAGGCAGAAAAAGACAAATACCATATGATTTCACTCATGTGGAATTTAAGGAACAAAACAGATGACATAGGGGAAGGGAAGGAAAAATAAGATAAAAACAGAGGGAGGCAAACCGTAAGAAACTTTTTTTTTTAGATTTTATTTATTTGATAGAGAGCGCACAAGCGGAGAGCTGCAGAGGGAGAGGGAGAAGCAGGCTCCCCACTGAGCAGGGACCCCAACATCGGGCTTGATCCCAGGACTCTGGGATTATGACTTGAGCTGAAGGCATATGCTTAACCGACTGACCCCCCAGGCACCCCAAGAAACTCTTAAGTATAGGGATCAAACAGGGTTGCTGGAGGGGAGGGGGATGGGTTAATGGGCGATGGGCATTAAGGAGGGCACTTGTTGTAATGAACACTGGGTGTTACATGCAAGTGATGAATCACTAAATTTCTACCACTGAAACCAGTAATATGATATATGTTAACTAATTTAAATAAAATCTAAAAGAAAAAAAGAACAAATACACACAAAAATATATATAAAAAATCTGTTTCTTTATATTTGTATCTGAGTAGGGAAATAGAAGTTATTTTTTAGACTTTTCATTTAAGTAAAATATCTGCATGAGTATTAAGAATGGCTCTTAAGACGATTGTATACTTTGCATTGCTTACTTGTTTTTATGTATGATTTGTTAATGAATACAAATCATTAAAGAGAGCTTAATATGACAAATTATTTTTTTAAATATGTTCTGCTAAAATAGATTGAATTTTAAAAGTAAATTTCCAGAATGCCAGTTAAGTACAGCTCTGTTCAGATTCTTGCAGGGGAACACAAATGCTTTGAATTCAAGAGAGTAAAGAAGGAAATACATACATGTGTATACATGTATATACATACGTATACTTATGTATGTATATATATATAAGCCTTTTTTCAAGATTGTGAATCTGTGTGTGTGTGGGAGCATGCACACAAATACATGATTTAGAGTTGAAGGAGATGGCTAGGTGATCATAGGGCAAAATGACTGCACAGAAGTCATACCTCAGGGTTCTTCTTTCATTCTAAAGTCCTGCAAGGATATGAACCAGGTGATCAATTTCATAGAAAGCAACTGGGAGAAATACTATATTATTAGTTTTCTACTATTAATTTTATTTAAGTCCAATAACTATTACTATTGGTGATTCATTAGATATAGCTTTATATCTAATGAATATATATATATAGCTATGTCTGTGTCACATAGACATAGCTTTATTACATATAAGAACTTTTTTATTGAGATTATTACTGTTATAATTATTGTTGTTAAACCAGAACTGTGATGATGTATTTCTTTCTTCTTCGTAGGGTTATTCCCATTGTGTTGATGTTTATATAAAGCAGTGCCAGGAGGTAACATAATAGTATACTTTATTGGATTTTATTTTATTTTATGCTAATTTGTGTTTTTAAAACCATTTAAAAATTATATATTCACTATGTAAAATGCCTCTGTTTAGGGTGCTTACTTGAGAAATGATATATTTGAAGATGCAGCGATACTCTGCCAACGAGTGAACAAACAAGTTGGAGATATCTTTAGCAATCCAGAAACAGTACTGGCTAAACTTATTCAAAATGTATTTGAAGTCAAACTACAGGTAATTTTAAACTGACTAAATAGTTCTTAAGGCAATATGTGATTTTTTTCCTCTGTTTTAAAAGTTTTTTAAAAATTTAGTTTATTCATGTAATGCCCTTTGGGATAGTAATCTATTCAGTGAAGGGGAAAGGAATGACAGTATCATGCTTTTGTAAAAAATATTGTTCATCAAGAAAAAAGGTGCTAATCATAATCACTGAGTATCATCAGAGCATGTTTGAAATTTATTCCAGCAGCAGTAGTAGTTATAACAGGTTGTAGAGGGGAAACCTCAGATTTTTATTTTTATTGGGTCCTCACTTTGACCAATAGATGGCATTTGTGAAATTGGGTAAGAATTACAAGTGCAATCTGTAGAATTTTTTATAATATGTACTAACATGAAAAGAAAAAACACAGTAATTTAATTTACAACCTTGACTCCCATAGCACTGTACATTAAAGCAACATTTCCTAAACTATGTTTACTACCGGATTAAGCAACATTAAAGAAGTGTTTGTTTTTAAAACACAATTCAGGACTCTTAATATCCTTTAACAGCACTAATACGTATTGTGATTCTCTGAAAACAGGAGTCTAAAATTTTAGAGTAATGCCTGTTAATGTCTCAAGGGACACTAGGGTTACCCAGGCCACAGTTTGGGAAATGCTATTTCTTAAGGAATTGACTATATCAGTATAGCCTCAGGTTTTGTTTTTTAAATGTACTTTATGAGGCAAGATAGGCCAGTTTCAAAAGAAATTTTGAAATTCTTAATACTTATTCCTAAGAGTGCTATAGATGAACAGGTAAATATGAGAAGCATTAAAAATTAAAAACCTGTGTTCTTATTTTTTTTATATTGGTATATTTTCTATGCATTGCCTTTTCCATTGTATTTTAATCAGAACAATTCAAGAATGTGGAATAATTTTAGAGAAAAATATATAATTTAATATTTACTTAATTGATAAAATGTTGACTTTTTTCTCAGAGTTTTGTGAAAGACCAGTTAGAAGAATGTAGGAAGTCTGATGCAGAGCAGTATCTCAAAAATCTCTATGATTTATATACAAGGTATGCTTTTAATTACTAGAAAATAGGAAAATAGTAACATCTCAGATTTTCTTTCCTTTTTTTTTTTTTAATAGAAAATGAAGTATTTTTTTTTTTGAGTAATAGTTTGTAGATAGTAGTATACCTTTTAGCATTAAATGCTTGGTTATATAGACTACTGTTGTACAAAGAGCAGTATTCTTAGCATGTTAACTTAAGGAATTGGATATTATGCTGTATAGTCATGTACTTTAATGTAACTTTTTTTACGTTAAGACTCAAGAATTTTGTTTCTGGTTTTAATTGTAAGCTAGTTCACTATTCTTTAATTTTTTTCTCTAAGACATAGTATAATGACATTTATCTGGCAGTTAAAACTTTAGAAATTGAGAAAGTCACAAATTCTTAACAAATGACAGTTTCAGCCTTAAGTCTGATATGAAAATTTGCCTTGGGCTTTGTAAATACAAGTGTAACATTTGGAAATATCGTATCAGAAGCTGCTTAGGGAGTTTTTTTCCCCAGTCCTATTGTTGTTCATCAGTGTCATCATTTTGAGAGGAGGGTTTTCAAAAGTAACCATAATCAGGAAGTCCATCCCAACAACATTTATTGTGAGCCTATCTTTAATAATGTGAAACAGAAAATTAGAGGAAAGTCCACATGGACAAAGACAAAAGAGAATGAACGGAAAGTAGATCTCTCAGTATTCTGACGTGGGTACCATGTCATGAATGGCATTAGAACATATTGAAGTCATTCTGCCACTGTTGCCATTTCTAGACTGGTTGGTTGCCTTGGTTTCTTCTCCTAAGTCATCCCTAGGAGATTATCCCTAGTCAGTTTTCTAAGCCACAATGTTATTTGTAATATCCATTCTACTTTATATATAGCCCTATGCAGCTGCTCTCTGTATCCTAAGTGCCTTCCAAGGTTTAAGAAATGGTGGTTTAACATAAGTTATTAAAATCACATTGTAAAAATATATATTCCTTAGTATTGTCACTGTACCTAAAATATACATTAATTTTTTTCTCCCTTTTCCATGAAAAGAACCACAAACCTTTCCAGCAAGTTGATGGAGTTTAACTTAGGTACTGATAAACAGACTTTCTTGTCGAAGCTTATCAAATCCATTTTCATTTCCTATTTGGAGAACTATATTGAGGTGGAGACTGGATATTTGAAAAGCAGAAGTGCTATGATCCTACAGCGCTATTATGACTCAAAAAACCATCAAAAGAGATCCATTGGCACGGGAGGGTGAGTGTTTCTGTTAAATGTTGTAGTTAAAACTAAAGATTTTAAGACCTTTATTATATTTGGACAAAGTTGTCAAATATTGACAGTGAATTTTCTGTGAAGAACTCATTTAACCCAGCTTATTTACACCATTGATCAAATCCTGTCTCTTGAACCACATGTTGAAATGACCTAACATAATGTAATTAAAATGTAAAGCAGAATACCAGCACTATAAAGAGTTCTATAGTCTCCTTTTTTTTTTTTCCCACACTGAGTAAATTATTCCAGGTTATTAACTAGGAAGTGCATCATTTTTTGTTGTTGCAGGTGTGGGAAAAAATAGAAAATAGTTTACAGTTTAGGTGTCCTGAGCTTTTTAATACTTGGGCATAAAATTATTTAATTAATACCTTAAAATCTGTGATTATTCACATACTAGAAGAAAATGATTTGCTATAGGATTGGTGGCATCTGTTATCCAGATCTCAACTGTCTGGGACCAATATGATTCTAGAATGAAGCAGAATGACTTATGCAGAGCCATATAATTAGAGTACAGAGTACACTCAAATCAGTTTCTTGTTTCCCAGTTTTTTATATACTAAATAGTGATCAGGGAGAGGTTATAATTAGGAATAAGAAGTGACATCTGAAAGACAGCAGCAAGTAAGGGAAGAGAAAAACTAAAGAACAATCATGAGAATTAAAAAAAAAAAATAGTTTGGGGTGTGTGGCTGGCTCAGTCAGTGGAGTATGCAACTCTTGATGTCAGGATTGTAAGTTCAAGCCCCATGTTGGGGTAGAGATTAATTAAAAAAAATAAAATCTTTAAAGATTTTGTTTATTTGAGAGCAAGAGAATGAGAGAGAGCATGAGCAGGGAGACGATCAGAGGGAGGAGGGAGAAGCAGGCTCCCCACTGAGCAGGGAGCCTGGTGCGGGACTTGATCCCGGGACTCTGGGATTATGACCTGAGCCGAAGGCAGGTGCTTAACCAACTGAGCCACCCAGGCGCCCCAAAAATAAAATCTTTTTTTTAAAAATAAATTCATAGTGGTCTAGAGCTAGGTATTTTAGGAGCAAAAGAAATCCAACCTTCTAAACATACCACCATAAAATAAATGTTCAAAGTAACCCTCAGTCATTAAGAAAAGCTAAATTATGTTTAATATATCTTGTTTAATAATGATAAAGAAATGTGCAATATGCTCAAATGGTTAGATATATTTAAAAAGCACTAAAGTTTTAAAGTTTATTTTAAGCAGGACCATTTAGTTATATTAACTTATTTGGAATAGTCCACTTCATAAGGAAACCAAACAAGAAATTTTTGGCTATTGAGTCAGAATTAGAGAGCTGAAAGAGACTTTTTTAAAGGTCACAACTCCAAGTATACTCATTTTTCAGTTGAAAATCTTATGTTTAGAGATTAAAGCTTATTTCACTTTACAGAACTAATTATTGGAATTAGAACTTTTATGTCTGGCAATTAGTCCATTTTTCTCTGTTGATATATACAACTTAAGTTGAAGAGTACTTGAAATTGAAATCTGTGTATAGTAAAGTGTTTTCTTTTCATTTGTTTTTATGATGCATTAGTATTCAGGATTTGAAAGAGAGAATTAGACAACGTACCAACTTACCATTGGGGCCAAGTATCGATACTCATGGGGAAACTTTCCTATCTCAAGAAGTGGTGGTTAATCTTTTACAAGAAACCAAACAAGCCTTTGAAAGATGTCATAGGGTAAGAGTAGTTATAAATTTATTTTATTTATATGGTTGTGTTTTTTAATCTTTGCCTTGTTTATAGTAAGATATAAATCTGCTCTCTGGTTAGGAACAACTATTTTTTGTAATAAAAAATTATAGAGGTTTTGTTTTGGAGAACAGAATTATTTTAAAATTATTTAGAAGTGTATTTTAATATAATTTCAAAAGTTGAATATACCAAATTTTTCTTCTGTACAATATATTAAATCAAGATATGAAAGGGAGGTTTAGAGCCATCTCATAAAGAAATAGAGCATTAGGGAAAGAAGGATGTCTTAAGAACCGAGATATCAAAGGAAAAGTTGACTCCATTAAAATTTAGAATTTCTTTCCAACAAATGCACTTTAACAAAGGAAACAGCTAAGTCACAGTCTGCAAGAAGGTATTTGTAACCAGTATTACTAGCAGAAGATTATGTAAAACAAATAATAGTGGCAAATAATTGTATAGCATATACTATGGTCCAAAGCACTTTAGGTATACATCAGCTCATTTAATCATTGTAACAACCTTGTGAGGTTTTTATTCCATTTTACAGATGAAGAAACTGAGATACATACTTCTTAAGCAGTGGAACTGAGAGTTGAGGCAGTCTTAATTTTTTTATTTGTATTGAGATATATGTCTATTTTATATTGATAGTAAATCAATAGAAATTATACATATAAATATAAATCAATAGAAAACAAAGACTAATAAACGCACATAGTGGGTTCTCAGTAAATAAACTATCATCTGACTCCATTATATGTGATAGCCAAGAGTGAGGTCTCTGGAGTCAGCCAGAGGTGGACTCAAAACCTGGCTCGACCACTAAACATGTAAACAAATACAGAAAATGTAAATTACCAATAAGATATTCAGTCTCACTAATAGGAAAATGAAACTTAAAATGGGAAAATACTGTCTCAGTCTGCAAAAATTAAGTCTGATGATAGTAAGGATGTGGAGCAATATAAATTTTCTTACACTACCAATGGAAGTAAAAATTGGTATAGTTACTTCGGATAGTAACTCGGAATTCATTAGAGAAACTCACAGGTCTACATGCCATGTCTAACATCATAGCAGCATTGTTTATCATGGTGAAAAATTAGAAGCAAATTAAGTGTGCCTCAAAAAGAGAATTGATAAATTGACATTGTTCATACACTAGAAAACTGTACAACAATTTAAATGACTAGAGTATCAACATGTATCAACAAAAAAAATCTCAGAAATGCAGTGTTGAGTGAAAAGAACAAAATGGGGAAAAGATATATTCAGTATAATGCCACTATATAAAGTTTTAAAAAGGAGAAGAATACCCTTATATTGTTTAGGGATATGCACAAGCATAAGCATGATAGATTCAGGGTAGTGTTTGCCATGAGGGAGGAGTACCTAAGGGACTTCATCCATATGTAGGACTCCCCTTCCCCCCCCAAAAAAGAAAAAAAATCTGAAGTACATTTGGAAAAAATGTTAAGATATGACACATCTGGGGGCGCCTGGGTGGTTCAGTCGTTAAGCATCTGCCTTCGGCTCAGGTCATGATCCCAGGGTTCTGGGGTCGAGCCCCACATCGGGCTCCCTGCTCTGCAGGAAGCCTGCTTCTCCCTCTCCCACTGCCCCTGCTTGTGTTCCCTCTCTCGCTGTGTCTCTCTCTGTCAAATGGGTAAATAAAATCTTAAAAAAAAAAAAAAAGATACGACATATGTGGGTGGGTGATGGGTATATTTGGTAAATTATTATCTCTAGTTTTCTGAATGCTGGAAATGTGTTAAAATATTTCTAAAGATCATTGAACCTGAAGCAGTCAACATTATGTTGTTTGAATCATAGTAACTAGCTCAGTGTCCTGACTTTTTGTCTGGAAAGTTACAAGATAGAAATTCAGTTGAAGTTCAGCACAATCTAATCCAAGAAACATGTGTTTACTTTGTACCAGCTGCTATGTTAGGCACTGAGGATATAAAAATAAGACATATATATTACTTTTGAATAGTGTGGAGAAAGGAGGTAGACAGAAATAATCAGCGCAAAATAGGTATACCCTGCTGGGACCAAAGACGGTGCAACCAGCTCTGCCTGGTTAAAGAATTGAGGAAGAGTATTTATTTGAAAAGGTTTCAAAAAGAAGGGGACTTTTTAAGCCTGAGTCTTAAAGCTACATAGGATATCTTCAAGAAGGTGATTCTTGCAGAGAATAGTACATGTAAAAAGTAATATACAAAGATCAGATGTGCAGCATAAAATGCTTGAAATAAAAATGTACATGGGAGAGTAATGAGAAAGGAAATTGCAAAGGTAAAGAGAAACTCTTTGTACACCATGGATAGAAATTTAGACTTGACCTTGTAGATGATGCAAACTTTAAAGGATTATTAAAAAGGGCAGTGTAATGAGCAGATTGGTGCTTTTTTCCTTTTTAAAAAAATAACTTTGAGATACCTTTGACATTCTGTAAAATGCATATATTTAAACTGCACAGTTTGATAACTTTGGTAAGTTATGTCTACATTTCTGAAGCTATAACTTCAGTCAGGATAATGAACTGATCCATCACCTCAAAAAGTTTCCTTTTGTCCTTTTATAATCCCCCTTTCCTCTCCCTTCACTTCTATCCTCAGAGAACCACTGATCAGCTTTATGTCACTATAGATTTGTTTTCAAAAAGAAGGCGACATTTGAGGACTGAGTCTTGAAAGCTAAATAGGATGTCTTTAAGAGGTTCATCAATTTTCTAGTTTTTATAAATAGTATATGGTATGTTATAATATGTACATGTGTTTCTGGCTTCTTTCACTCAGCATGATTATTTAGAAATTCATCCATGTTGTTGTGTGTATTAGTATGCTCCTTTATATTGCAGAGTAGTATTTCCTTGCATGAATATACCACAGTATGTCTGCTTAACTATTGATAGACATTTAGATTGATTTCAGTGTTTGACTGTTATGAATGAAGTTATGCAGACATATGCTTTCATTTCTCTTGGGTATATACTTAGTAGCAATATGGCTGATTCATATGGTATTTCTTTTAAAGAAACTGCCAAACTATTTTCCAAGGTTGTTTCATTTGCCATTCCTGCCAGCAATGTGTAAAAGTTTCATTTGCTCCCCATGATCTCCAACATTTGGTATGATCAATCCTTTTTTTTTTTTAAGATTTTATTTATTTATTTGACAGAGACACAGCGAGAGAGGGAACACAAGTAGGGGGAGAGGGAGAAGCAGGCCTCCTGCAGAGCAGGGAGCCCGATGCGGGACTCGATCCCAGGACCTTGGGATCATGACCTGACCCTAAGGCAGATGCTTAACAACTGAGCCACCCAGGCGCCCCATGATCAGTCCTTTTAATTTTAGACAGCCTAACGGTGTGTAGTGATATCTTATTAGGGTTTTAGTTTTACATTTAGGTCTATGATCAGTTTTGAGTTAATTTATACATGTCCTATGGTGTATGGATCAAAGTTCAGTTTTTTGCATTTAGGTATCCAGTTGTTCAAGCGTTATTTATTGGAAAGACTATCCTTTCTCCACTCAATTACTTTGGAACCTTTGTCGAAAACTGCTTGACAATTTATATGTGGATCTGTTTCTGGACTCTCTTCTGTTCCATCGACCTATTTGTCTTTGTGCCAGTACTACACTGTCTTGATCACTGTAATTATTAAGTCTTGAATTAGATAGTGTCAGTCCCCTAATATTTTCATATAAATTATTTTGCATCCTTATATGTCTTACAACCACTTTGTCAGTCTCTGGGGAAAAAAAGTTTGGGGTTTTGATTGCATTGAATCTATAGTTCTGTTTGTGGAGAAGTGACATCTTAATAATATTGAGTGTTCAGTCTACAAATAAAGTATATCTGTCCAGGGGCACCTGGGTGGCTCAGTTGGTTAAGCAACTGCCTTCAGCTCAGGTCATGATCCTGGAGTCCTAGGATCGAGTCCCACATCGGGCTCCCTGCTCAGTGGGGAGTCTGCTTCTCCCTCTGACCCTCTCCCCTCTCATGTTCTCTCTCACTCTCTCTCTCAAATAAATAAAATCTTAAAAAAAAAAGAAAAGAAAAAATATATCTGTCCATTTATTTAAGTTTTCTTTAATTTTCCTTACCAAAGTTTTGTAATTTTTTAGCACACAAGGTTTATCCCTGAGTATTTAACATTTTTAGTGCTATTTTAATGTAATGCAAGTGGTATTTTTTAATTTATATTTTTGATACTCTGTTGTCAGTGTATAGAAAAACAGTTGATTTTTATATGTTGACTTTATACCTGCAACTTAACCAAACTTATTAGTTCTAGTAGCGCTTTTTTTGTGTGTGGATTCCAAAGGATTTTCTAAATAGTCTATCATGGAGTCTGCCAATAAGTCAATTTTACTTATTCCGTTCTAGTATAGAAACCTATTATTTGGTTCTCTTGCATTATTGCATTGCTCAGAACCTCCAGTACAATGATGAATGGAAATGGTGAGAGCAAATACCTTGTATTATTCTTGATCTTAAGAATAAAGCTTTGAGTCTTTCACCATTAAGTATGATATTAATTATAGGTTTTTCACAGATGCTCCTTACCAGATTGAGGAAATGCTTTTATTTTTAGTTTTCTGAGTTTTTATAAGATTAGGTGTTGGATTTTGTCAAATGCTTTCTTTTTATTATGTTAGTATGCTGAGTTACATTGATTTCCAAATGTTAACCTTGCATTCCTTTGATAAACTCCCCTTGGTTATCAGGTATTATCCTGTGTATATTTTGTTGAATTAGGTTTTAAATATATATATATATATATTTTTATTATCTTGTGTATATTTTGTTGGATTAGGAACTTTCGTTTAGAATTTTTGTGTTTGTGTTCATGAGGGATATTGACTTATACATATATTTTTTTCACACAATGTCTTCGTCTAGTTTTGGTTATCAGGGTAATGTTGGCCTTGTAGAATGAGTTGGAAAATATTTCTTCCTCTTTAATTTTCTGGAAGAGTTTGTGTAAAATTGATATTATTTCTTCCTTAAATGTTTGCTTGAATTTACCAGTGAAATAATTTGGGCCTGCGGTTTTCGTTGTGAGGGTTTTTAACTACAAATCCAACTTCTTTAATAGATTTAGAACTATTTAAGGTACCTATTTCTTTTTAATTGAGCTTTGGTAGTTCATGTCTTTAAGGATTTGTATATTTCACATAAATGTTTGAATTTATTGGGATTAAGTTGTTCATGATATTTCCTTATTATCCTTGTAATATCTGTAGAATCTATAGTGATGTCACCTTTTCATTCTTGATATCAGTAATTTGTATATTTTTTCCCTGATCAGTCTGGCTAGAGGTTTATCAATTTTATTGATTTTCCCAAAGAATCACCTTTTGGTATCATTGATTTTTCTCTATTCTTTTGTTTTGTGTTTCATTAGTTTCCACTCTTTATTGCTTTTCTGCTGCTTGGTTGGGTTTCATTTGCCCTTCTTTGTTTAGTTTTGTAAGGTGGGAACTGAGGTCATTGATTTGAGACCGTTCTTCTCTAATATAAACATTTAGTCTTATAAATTTCTCTCTAAGGTAAGCTTTAGCTGCATACCACAAATTTTGATATGTTGTATTTATTTTCATTCAGTTCAAAATACTTCTAAATTTCCCTTTTGATTTCTTTTGGCCCAAGAGTGATTTAGAAGTGTTTTAGTTGTCAGATATTGGGGTATTTTTTAGTTCTTTCTGTTATTGATTCAAATTTGATCCTGTTGTGGTTAGAGGACATACTTTGTATGATGTGAATCTGTTTTAAATTTGTTGAGACTTGTTTTAGTCCAGGATATGATCCATCTTTGTAAATGTTTTGTGTATACTTGAAAAAAGAAGTGTATATCCTGATGTTGTTAGATGGAGTATTCTATAAATGTCAGGTCCAGTTGATTGACAGGGTTGTTTACATCTTCTGTCTGCCTATCAATTTTCTGTCTACCTCTTCTATCAATTATGCATGGATATATGAATGTAAACAGGAGGAGGGTGAAAAGTTTATTCTTTATTGCTTGTTAAGGGCTTCTGTTGAGGATCAGTGAGCAAAGAAGGGGAGGTAAAGGTTGTGGTAGAGCGACTAGTGAAGAGTAAACTTTGAGGTGGTATTAAGAAGATCAGGAAGGGAATTGAGTAATACCAAATCAGTATTTATAATAGGGTTTTTAAAGGGGTTATGCACTTCAGCTCCCAGCTCTTTATATCAGATAATAAGCATTGCTCTGAGAAAGGTAAATGAATAGACTACGAAGTGGCAACAATCAGTTGATAAATAATACAGAAAGCAGTGATAAGATGTTGAGAGGTAGTTTTCTAACTTTTTAAAGAGAGATTTCATTTTCTTACCATAATTACTAATAATGCTTCTGAGTAATCATCAGCAATATCAACAGCAAAATGAACATTTATCATTGTAAGTTTACTGTGTGCCATACATTGTGCTAAAAATACTTTATGTGCATTTTTATATTTTATTCTCACCTCAGGACTAGGATGTAAGTACTGTTAATATTATTCCCACCTTACAGATGAAGAAATTGAGGCCTGGTGGGGTTAAATAATATCTTAAGGGTTTACTCAAAGAGGAAGTGATGAAGCTGGGATTTGAGCCTGTCATATTTTATAGTGCATTTGTTATCGATTTCCCCATTCCCACCCCCCAGAAGAATAGAGAATCCTTTTTATTCTGAGTTTTGCTAGAATAGCTTTTGTTAAAGTTGGTGGCTCTGAAACTTCTTTGACCACAACCTATAAGAAATGGATTTTACATAGCAGTCCAGTGGATCTTTGTTATATGTATGCATATGTGTATGATGTTTTTGTGTGTATGTGTATTTCATAAAACTATATGTGGTTTTAACATGTACATTATACTTTATTTACTATTGATTCTCTCTTCTCTTCCCTCTTTCTTTCTTGTCGCAATCCACTAATGGATTGCAATCCAGGTGAGAAAAATATTGATCTAGTCTAAGCCAGGAGAATTGTAGATAAATATGAAGCATTGTAACTATATGTCTATGTATGTGAGAGAGGCTTTGGGGGTGGAGAGGAAGAGGCATAAGTTAGCATTTTGATACCTGAATACTGGGTACATCGTATACAAAATTGATTGCTTAAAAAAAAAAAAAAAGCCCTTTTTTTAAAGATAGACTTTAGGAGTGATGTATTTGGTTTTTGTTTTTAAAGCTCTCTGATCCTTCTGATTTACCAAGGAATGCCTTTAGAATTTTTACCATTCTTGTGGAATTTTTATGTATTGAGCATATTGATTATGCTTTGGAAACAGGACTTGCTGGTAAGTATATTTGTGTTATATTTTGTGTTAAATTCCTTTGATCATGCTTGATTAACTGTATGCATAATGTTTTGTATATATTCAACTCTTTATATCAAATTCAGTTCAATGCAATGAATAATGCTTTTTGAGCATCTATAATGCAAGAGTTTGTCAGGCGCAGAAAGTTACACAAAGAGTTCTCTCATATTGCTTACATCAAACAGGGCAGGGTAAGCTACATAAGTCACTACAGTGTATGGCAGAATGTGGTACAATGCTACAAGTTATAAAATGTCAAAGGAGCAGAACTGAAGGTGACAGCAATTCTGGTTGAAGCAGTTGAGTAATGTAAAGTTTAGAAGGGAAAATATTCCAAAATAAGCCTGGAAAGGAATAGATTCATATTAAAATTTTTATTTTGCTTTTGATCTTTCAGGTTTACTGGTATTAATAGGATAATAATGATTTCTTCCCTAAATTCCAACCACATTAATGTAGTTCCCTCTTTGAACTTTCCACCTGTTCAGTGTGCATCTCAAATTTAACATATCCCTACTGAAACTCTTTATCTTCCATTTAAACTTGTTCTACTCCCATTCTTTCCCATGTCCTTAAAAGGCATTACTATTTACTAGTTGCTCAGGCCCCAAACAGGAGTTGCCATATTTCTTCCTTTTCATCAAACCTGATAGCTAGTCTGTTAGCAAATCCTATACTTCCAAACATAACTCAAATTCATCTACTTTTCTCAAGCTCTACTAATGCCACCCTAATTTAAATACCATCATCTTTATCCATTCCTTACTGGCCTTTCTGTAAACATTCTCAACCTCTCCACATTACTGACTCCACATAACAGTTTGATTATCATTTCCTTGTTTAAGACCTTTTAGGGACTTCCTATTAATTTTAGGGGAAAAACAATAACAAACTTTACAAAGGCATGGCTTTTGATCTGTCTTCCTGTTATATATTCATCCACTTCTCATATTGTACTTCCTCTCACTACCTTAGCCATCAGCCACTCTAGCCTTCATTCTTTTTTTTCTCACTCAGGCTTTCCCCCATCCCCCAATCCCTTTTCCTTTAGCACTTCTCATGCCTGACTTTTCAGCCTCTGATCTCAGTTAACTAAGATGTCACCTTCTTAAAGAGGCATTTGTGGATTACTCTAAGATAGCCCTCTACTCCCAGCCTAGTTATTCATTATTTCATCACTGAATTAATGTTTTTCATAGCACTTATCACAGTGAAATTTTCATCTGTTAATGTCTGCCTCCACTTACCAGAATTCATTCACTTTTAAATGCCTACTCCTGCACTCACAGAGCTTTCATTCCTAGGGATAAGATAGACAAATGACTAGAAAGTACAATGAAGAAAAATAAAATTGAGTAAGATAGTGAGAAGTGTTGGGGAGGTAGGATGGGGGAATTCAGGAGCAGAGGACTTTTTTTAGAGAGGTTGGTTAGGGAATGCCTCTCTGAGGAATTATATGAACTAGAGAGCTGAATGGAGTGAAAGAGTAAATGGAGTATTTGGAGAAAGTATTTTAAGAGAACAGCATATATGCTCTTTTGGCTAGGAATCTTATCTGTCTTATTCACCGTTATTATCTAGTACTTAGAAAGCACATAGCAGATGCTCAAAAATGTTTATTGACTGTATATCACATCATTTTTTAGCTTTTTAACACTGAAGCAAAATTACCATAATTCAGTAAACTTGATTTATTCTTACCTATTTTTTAATTTGCTCTCATGATTGTAGATTTGCTCTCAGGACAGATTAAAAGCATTTGTATCCTGCTTTTTTTAACTTAATTACAGTAGACTCTTTTTTTTTTTTAAGTTTATTAATTTGTTTTCTTAAGTAATCTCAATACCCAGTGTAGGGCTCAAACTCATGACCCCAAGATCAAGAGTCGCATGCTCTTCTGACTGAGCCAGCCAGGCACCCCAATTACAGCAAACTCTTGACATCAGTGACTAAATGTGGCAATTTGTATTGGGATGATAATACCTCAAAGATATTAAGAAGATTAAAGAAGATAATGAGAAAAAGTAACAAGAATTTGAATCCATATGGTATGAAGGATTTATTATTTAGCTCATATGGAAATCTAGCATCTTCATTTTAGTAGCTGTATTCACAATTTGGAAGGACTTAGAAAATTTACTGGTAGGATGAAAATGTCTCTTATAATTCATAAATTTTCTTCCCTGCAGCCATTCAGTTAGCACTTACTGCTATTATTTCTAATGATAGTATAAAATTTTGTCATGCATATATATTATAAAGTTAAATAAAATTAACTATCCCCTCTTACTAGACATACTGGTTTTTTTCCAGCAGTTTAGTAATATAAATAATGCTGCAGTGAACATTGTAGAGCTTAAAGTGTTTTCCTTATTTTGAATTATTTTCTCTGTATGAAATCCCAGAGGTGAAGTTAGCAGAGCAAAGTATGTTACCAGAGACACCTGCCTGGCTCAGTTGGTAGAGCATGCAACTCCTGATCTCCAGGTTATGAGTTCGACCCCCATACTGGGGCTAGAGTTTACTTTAAAAAAAACAAAAAACCAAAAAAAAACCACAAAGTGTGTTACCAATTTTTAAAATTTCTATACATAAAGCCTTTTCCAAAAGGGTTTTTTTTTGCCCTAATTTACACTGCTGTTGCATGTACCAGTTCTTCTGCATAACATTGAATATTCTTTTAAAAACTTTAATTTAGTGGTTAAAAATATACATAAATATTACCTTAATTTTAATAACTTTGATTAATAGTAAGGATTTTCCACATGTGCATTGACTTTATTTTTTTCTTTTGTAAGTTTGTGTTGGAGCCTTTAATTTTCTTACCAGTTGGTGATTTTGTCTTTTATGGGAAAATGAAACACCTTTGCTTTCATTTTTAAAACTTTGAAAAAAATCATCATCCTATAAAGAATTCTAGGTATTTTATTTTCTCATATGTGAATATTTTCCCTAGCCCATTATACCTTTTAATTTTAGCTAGAAACACAAACATCTAAGGTTAGAATGGACTGCTCTTCTACAAAAAAGAGGAAACTGAAGTCTGGATAGGTCAGCTCTCTTTTTTGGAGTCAGCACGTTGAGTCGCTTTGAATGCCATGAATTTTAGACAGTGAGGAGACTTTGAATATTTTTGAGGAAATAATGGAGAGCAAGATGAGTGAAATGTGTAAGTTTAAGTATGTTACTCTGGCAACAATATATAGCAGAAAAGATAAAGTGATTTGAACCCAGGAAACTAATAAAAAATTATTTTAACTGTTACCAGAGATAATGAGGCCTTGTTATAAGAAAAATGGTGGAAGTGTATGCATGGCTCATGTGGAACCACTGGGCATGAGAGTGGGAAAGGAAAGAAGATACAGTCCAAGATGATTCATTTATTGATTTAATTTTTGGTTTATCTCAGCAAATAATGAAGACTGAGTAGATGGTGAAAATTTTCATGTAAAAATTTTATTCATTTTATTAAGTTATTAAACTTAATTTTACTCTTCTGTCCACAAAAATCATTGCTAATTTATTAAAATAGCAGTGACTTTTATTCATGATACCGTGTTCTTTTTTCTGTTGCCAAGATGAATTTCTTCAAGTATGATTCTAATATGTACATGCCTTCCAATTTTAGGAATTCCTTCTTCAGATTCTAGGAATGCAAATCTCTATTTTTTGGACGTTGTGCAACAGGCCAATACTATTTTTCATCTTTTTGACAAGCAGTTTAATGATCACCTTATGCCACTAATAAGGTTAGTCAAATTGATTTTTTTTGGTATTTCAGTGACTATTATAATGCTCTATGTTTAAAGATATACAACAAAAATTTTATAAGATTAATAGGACAGATTTTAATAAGGCATTAAATAAGTTTTGGTTTATATCTCAATTTATGTGAACTTTTAAAGTACGTGAGGATTAAATAAGGTAGAATATACGTGAACATGCCTTATAAAATTGTATGTATACTGTTATTAAAAAGGAAAAATATTTTTTAAAAAGAGGAAAAATAAAAGATAAAATTTTAAACATTTTATTGTACACATTGATATGCCAAGAAATTAATTCAAAAACAGTCTCAAAGATAAAGATCACTTGTGATCCCTGAATCACACTTTAAAAGGAAATGTACTATTTTAAGAGCTGTAATGCCACATAGCACAGAATTCACATAACTATTAGGGTTGCAGATTCCTTAATAGTTTAGGTGTTTTTGACATTTAGATGGCATTCAGAAGGCAAATATGATTGTCAAATTTGTTTTTATAATATAGGAAAGCTAAATACAGCTGGATTGGCTCTTAGTCTCCAAATTTTAATTAGTATAATTTATTATATTCTTAAGACTCTGGTGATATCCTTTGGTGTTTGTTTTTGTTTTACTTTCAATACAGATATCTAATTAAAAAGGAAACCAAATAATCCCCAAATTGCAAAATCACATATATTTATATTCTTAAGGAACATCTTCTCTTAGATGAAAGTAACAAATCTAAATCTTCCTCTTCCTTCTCGTTTAACTTGTTAATTTTTCCTAGTGTGACTATTAGGCATAGTAATACAACATAATTTCCTAGTATTGAATTGGGCATATTAATTACTACTTATGTGCTTCTTGGATTTGTGAGCAAAGTAAAATAATATATGTGTATGTATAAATGTTTATAACAATATACATGTGCGTATGAAAAACTTTTATAAGGCTACTAATGTGATTTTTTTTCCCTTTAAACATTCAATAGCTCTTCTCCTAAGTTATCTGAATGCCTTCAGAAGAAAAAAGAAATAATTGAACAAATGGAGATGAAATTGGATACTGGCATTGATAGGCAAGTTGTTAGTTTTACCTTTTCTCTTATATTTTTTATGTTTAATTTATTTACTTTTTAAGATTTTTTTTTAAGATTTATTTATTTATTTTGGAGAGAAAGAGCACTGGGGGAAGGGGCAGCAGGAGAGAGAGAGAGAGAATCTCAAGCAGACTCCCTGCTCAGCGCAGAGCCAGACACGGGGCTCAGTCTTATGACTCTGAGATCATGACCTGAGCCGAAATCAAGAGTCGGATGTATAACCAACTGAACCACCCAGGCACCCCTTTAAAGATTTTATTTTATTTATTTATTTTTTAATTTATTTTTTATTTTTTTTTTTTTAAGATTATTTATTTATTTATTTGACAGAGAGAGAGAAAGGACAAGTAGGCAGAGCAGTGGGCAGAGGGAGAGGGAGAAGCAGGCTTCCTGCTTGATCCCAGGACCCTGGGATCATGACCCAAGCCAAAGGCAGACGCCCAACTGACTGAGCCACCCAGGCGTCCCTAAAGTTTTTATTTTAAAGTGGGACTCAAACACAACCTGATACCAACGTGGGACTCAAACACAACCCTGATACCAAGAGTGGGACTCACACACAACCCTGATACCAAACACAACCCTGATACCAATGTGGGACTCAAACACAACCCTGATACCAAGAGTCACACTCTCCACTGACTGAGCCAGCCAGTCGCCCCTCCTTTTCTCTCATATTTTTTAAATTGTAAAAACACCATTATAAATGCAGCATGAAAAGGTTTTCAGTATGTTTAGGTATGCTTTTAAACTAGATTCAATTGAAAAGCCATTTTTGTAGGCCACCACTTTCTCCTCCTCCTCCTCTTTCTTTCCCTCTCTCTCTCCAGACTCCTTAAAAATGATATGTAACATAGAGGATTTTATTTTCATTTGAATTTTTAGGCTTATATCTGAAATGCTTTAAATAAATATACTTGTTTTCTGTAAGTGAATTCCATTAAGTGAATACAGACTGCATTCAAAAATTTTTATAACTTTTTGTAGTTAATTACCTGTTAATAGTGTAGAGCAGTGGGTCTCTTTTCTTGAGATGACGTGGTGGGCATATATTGATGATGATGATAGTTACCACTTAACAAGCATTTGGTGTGCGCTAGGCACAGTGCAAGGACCTTTACCTGTATTATTTTATTTATTAGGTAGGAAATACTGTTTCTGTTCTACAGATGAGGAAATGGAGGCTTAAAGAAATTATGTAATGTGCTAAGATAACACAGTTAATGGTGGTAGAGCTGGAACTCAAATTCTAAAGCCCATGCTACTAGATTTGGGCATATCTTTTTCACTTACTGTAATTCTGTTCCTTTCTCTTCTGTTTAAGAAAGCATATTTGAATGCAGGTTAGTTTCAGTGCTGTATAAGGATAGCCTGGAATCTACTCTAATTTACAAAAAATTAAGAAATTTTTACTTTATCAGTATCAAACTTGCAGCTCACCTCCCAATTATCTTCTCACTAAGATCAAGAATTACTACTGAGTATATGATAATGAAGGTAAGAAAAATAAAATTGAAGAATAAAACTAGGAAAAATAGGGTATTATAAAATTAATTACTGAGACTAATTTACTGAATTATATGCTTAGAATAATCCTAAAACTGGTCTCTCCCTTTTGTTTTTAGTCAGGACCATATGAGAACCATATATAATTTCATTTAATATAATTATAATGTACATGATATATTGTACACATTATAATCATCACTTCAAGAAGTATGTATTTTCCTAACCTAAATCTCTCATATTAACTTAATTTGTTTCTTCTTGCTTTACCTCAGAATACCTGAAAATCATATTTGGGACATAGGGAGGTTGGATATATTAAACTTTCAGAGATATAGGAAAGATGTATTTCCTTGGTGTCTTCTTAATGTCATTCTGTATAAGCCTTAATCTCAGAGTCTTTGCACTAGTATTAATTGAAAGCACAGTATCCTGTAGTGGTCTCATGAATGTGAACTTCTGATTTTTTTACCCATGTACCATGGGGCCAAGAGGTGAGCAGAGCATTCACCTGATCTCTTCTCTGATATTTTCAGACCAGTATCCATCTATAGGTGTTAGGTCGGAACCCTTTTGCCTTTGAAACTCACATCATCTTTTCCTATTGCTGTTGTCTCTCAATCATTTATGTTAGTCTCCTACATTAATTGAGGATTTGGGCATCTGGCTTACAGTTTTTCTTTTAAACTTAAATCTTAGGTTATTTCTACTTCCATGTGTGTGACCCATTCATTTTCTTCATCGTCTTCATTTTAGCTACCTACTCTCATATCCTACTAGACCTCATTATCATTGGTAACAAAAATTTGAAACTTGAATATCCCACTCATTGCTCACAACCTCCTGTTCTTCCAATTCCATAACCTTTCTGACCTCAGCAGGAACTCTAGCCCTTAATATATTTATCTTTTGCCAATCTTCTATCCTTTTCTTTATTCATTATTATGCTTAGATTGTTTGATCCATCTCTTAAATTAGTCCCTTATAATTACCCTAAAATCTGTTTCCGTTAACCTTAACTATCTTACAGATCCAAGGTTTTGGAGCAGTGCAGTCTCTTTTATTCCCATAACTGGGTGGCTGATTGCTGTTGGAGAATAGCATATAACTTGAACATTATTGGTGCCGCTACAAACCCATGTTCTCATTTCTCAACTGAGTCTTTAGTACCATTTGTTCAGCTTCCTGCTTGTCCTTAGACTGTGGAACTCCTATTCATCTCACTAATTCTTCCAAATGTTGGCCATTTGTCTTAACCCTCTATCTTCCCCTCTTTCTAACCAGTCTCTGTATATGGTTGTTAAGGAAGTAAGTTAGTGACAGGTTTCTAAGATCTTTAAGATTACCTTAAATAAAGTATTGGGCAAGAACAGGAAGCTAATAAAACCAAGAGTTCATTGATAGCAAGACCTAGAATTTATTTTTTCTAAAATCTAAAGTCTACCAATAGTAAATAATTTTGTGGTGCTCTGAAATTAAATAATTTCAATTTAGTATAAATAATATAAATTAAAATAAATTTAAAATAAATGGGTCAAATATATGGTGTTCTTAATTCTCTAGGACCTTAAATTGTATGATTGGACAGATGAAGCATATCTTGGCTGCAGAACAAAAGAAAACAGATTTTAAGCCAGAGGATGAAAACAATGTTTTGATTCAGTATACTAACGTGAGTAAAATAATTCAATATACTAGTAATATCTACTATGCTTAACATTTTCATTGGTGTATCTTACTGTGCTCTAAGTTTTTTTCTTTTATACTTAGAAATTAATGAGACACTATATGTATTTTCTCCTTAGCTAAACTGATACACATTTCTATGTAATAAGTGTAGAAAAAATTTTACAGGCCTGTGTTAAAGTCTGTGCTTATGTAAGAAAGCAAGTGGAAAAGATTAAAAATTCCATGGATGGGAAGAATGTGGATACAGTTTTGATGGAACTTGGAGTACGTTTTCATCGACTTATTTATGAGCATCTTCAACAATATTCCTACAGTTGTATGGGTGGCATGTTAGCAATTTGTGATGTAGCTGAATATAGGAAGTGTGCCAAAGACTTCAAGGTATGTATTCACAAATATAAAACTTGTAAATAGGCTCAAGAACATAAGTCAGACCATTAAAAATGCATGCTGACTTACAATCACTACCGAAAAGTTTAAAACTTGCTGATATTATAGTGAGACAGATCTAACATTTCCTAACTGAAAAAGTATTGTTCTAATCATATTTTCAGTCTTAATACATTTTTGCTCTGTGCTGTATTTTAGACAAGGCCATATTTCAATTCGACAGTCCAAATGACATTGTTGACTTTCATAACTGATGCTGTATATATCACACATCAGGAAAATATGTTCTTTCTTCATGTACATCTCTCTGAAATCCCTTTTCCTTAAGGCTTAAATTATTTAAGAAAAGTGCTAAATTAATGGTAACTAATTCTAATCCACAGAAGTATAAATGACTGTTACTATTGAAGGAAATTGACATGGACCTTTTCACCTAAAAAGATTATATCAAGTTTATGTAATGTCTGAAATATTTGAGTTTTGACACTTTCAGGAGCTTTTACAATTTTTAGTATTGAATTCTCCCACATTAGTAAGTCTTAATAGTATATAAATGAGAATAATATATAAATGAGAAACTAATTGTAAAACTAGAAATTGTTTTGTTTCAATGTTATTTTTTTTTTTTCTCCTCTTATTTCAATTCAGATTCCACTGGTATTACAGCTCTTTGATACTCTGCATGCACTTTGCAATCTTCTGGTAGTTGCCCCAGATAATTTAAAGCAAGTCTGCTCAGGAGAACAACTTGCTAATCTGGACAAGAACATTCTTCACTCCTTTGTACAACTTCGTGCTGACTATAGATCTGCCCGCCTTGCTCGACATTTCAGCTGAGGTTGAATTTACAAGGGAAACGTGTTGTACTTCAGCAGGCCTTGGTTGATGGAAAGCACAGGAGATTTCTTAATGACACAGCCAACATTTTATGGAAAAATGACTGTTTGGAGAAACAGCAGCCATACTTACCCTTGAGATTTTATTTGAAATTTGGACACTACTAGCCATATTTTGCTTTTTCCCCTTAAGTTGAATTTTAATTCCATTCTTGAACTTATAAATTTCAAATTCTAAATTTCAAATTCTGTGAACCTACATGTCACTGTTTTCATCCTGGAAAATGTTGGTGTCAGAAGACAAATGAGATGTTATCAGTGTTCCAGTTGACATTCTTTAACATATTCTATTGGAAAATTTCACCATCCTATTTTGCATTAATGGTAAAATACAGCAAAACTGCATTTATTATTTACCAATTTTTAATGACCTTTTCAGCACTTGATAATTGTTAAACAAGTTATTTTAGGTTTTCCTAGAGAACTTTTGCCTCTTTCAAAAGGTTAATAATTGAGCATAATTTCTGTAGTTGGTTAATTGGCTTTTTTCCTGAGGTACAACAATAATATTCCAAGAAAAATGTTACAAACTAAACTAAAATGATGAAATGTTTTATGTAGATATTAGGAGTGGATCAGAATACATCTGCTTTCTGGGTAAAAAAACTTAAAAGTTTACTATTTCTTATTTTGTAAACAGATTTTAAGCCAATGCTAGCAAGAAATTAATAAGTCTACCTTATTTTATATTTCACTTAAGATAAGGTGGAGGACCTTAACTAAAGGACCACATTTATTCATTATTTTAATATTATAAGGGAAGTAAAATGAGGTTTAGTCTAAATGGTGAATATGAGAAATATTGCCAGTGTTTAGCAACAATGCAGTCCTTTAAGATTTCTTTCTTAATGCTAAACTGGAATAAGATGGGATGGCTAAACATAAGTAATACATTTTAAGGGGAATCAGGAATTGATAGATAGCATTATATATTCTAAGTCTGGAGATGAGCTTTGTAAAAACTGGTTGCTTTTCAAATCTATAGTTTCTGTCATCTTTTTCAAGGCATTTCTGAAGCAGTTCTTACTGATTGGAATTAATTGAATTGGCTTAATATGGTGACATAATAAATCACTTATAAAATTTTAAACATCAAGTGGAAATTTAGAAAGGCTATTACTCTACAATTTCTATAAACTTGCTCTGCAAGAATTCATTCTTATCTATATGTAATGTTTCAGCTTCCTTTGTGGTGTTCATAATCTTCTAGGAACAGATAAACTTTAATGTTCAGCTCATTCTTGGCATTTTTTTTCCTTTAATGTAGCCTTGTAGCCTTTTTGGCCTAATTTTGGCAAACTACTTTTCTTTTAAGACTATGTTTCTGAATGGTCATCAATTTTACCAAAATTTCCAGGTCCAGTGCTAGCTACTGTTTAAATTACTATTGACAGAATATTCTTCATTTTCTGTTTAGCCCAGTGTTATTAAGGTAAGGAAGAGAAACGAAGTATGCCAACTTTTATCAAAGCATTTTAGTACATCGTGGCAGTTTTAGAAGGCTATCTAGTTTTCTATTCCTTAGCCAAGGGAAGCCAGAACAGATTTTGGATACTAGAGAAAGTCATATGCTTGTACTATTGCCATTTTAGAAAGCTCTGATGTGAATTCAAATTATACCTCTGTTACTGAAAGCCAACAGTTTTAAAGCAGTAGTTTTACTGGCCATTTGAACTTTGTACACAGTGTCAATTTGTAAAAAAAAAAAAAAAAGAAAAAAAAAGAAAAAAATCTTAAATAAAACATGAGAGAACATTTTAAGACTTCCAAATCAGAGAAGTGCTTCAAATTATTTTGTTTGGACTAATTTTTAAAATGTAAAGCATATACATGTTGCTTAGATATTTTGTTAATCATTATTTCCATGCTTGAGTTTTGTGCAATATTTTCCATTATGTCCATTGACCAAGGCAGTGACAAAGAAAACTCTTAAGTGAATACTTAACTTAGAAGTGTTAATATTAATGTTTAATAAACAAATTCCCTGCAATTGTTTTTTTATTTCACTCCATTTTTACATCTTTAGGATATGTGTACTTAATTTTAAAAATTATTTCTATTTAAGTTTTCAAGATGTTCTTTATTTTTTATAGCATAGGTCTTCTCACTTCCTTTTTTTTGGAGAAAAATATAACTAAGATTAGAAATTTAACCTAAACTGATTATCTTACTCTAAGAAAAAAAAAAATTGTTGTATAAACCCCTATGCATTACTTGCATTCTTTGTATTCCAGTTTTTAAAATATTTTGTATATTTGTGGCCACTATAAAATTTTGTCCACAATTTATGACTCAAAAGAGATGATCAATAAGTAAGGTGTTTTTCATGTAAAATTTTTGGTAGCAATAATGGAACTTTTTTTTTTTTTTTAAAGATTTTATTTATTTATTTGGCAGAGAGAGACACAGCGAGAGAGGGAACACAGGCAGGGGGAGTGGGAGAGGGAGAAGCAGGCTTCCCGCGGAGCAGGGATCCCGATGCGGGGCTCAATCCCAGCACCCTGGGATCATGACCTGAGCCGAAGGCAGACGCTTAACGACTGAGCCACCCAGGCGCCCCGCAATAATGGAACTTTGTATATTAGTAACTTTAGCCAACATTGAATAAGGAGAATCTTACAGTTTTCTGCAGTTCCACATGAGCTAACAGGCAATATTTAGGTAATGTTTTGAAGTTGAAAATAGGCTCCAAAACCCTGCAAATTATTTTTCTTCAACTTGAGTATATTATGTTTGCATAAAATGGTACAGAAAGTGAAATACAGAACACAAGTTTAAGAAGGAAGTCTAGCATATGTAAGTTATGATATTGAAAATGACAGTCAACCAGAGTAGATAAATAGTCCTTATGAAGAATTATTAAATAACGCTTGGATGGATCTTTAGATATAGTTGACTATCTGCCTATTTCAAGACAAGTATTTAGCCTCATTTTGAGCATCACCATGGTTGCAAGTCCCTAGCACCTTCCCATTTTAAAAAAGGGCTGCTAAGTATGTTAACTTACATATTTAAATGATTTTCTTTCCTCTTTCACTTTAAATATTTCACTATCTGAATAGCAGCCTTCTGACTTACGGTGAAATAATTGAATTACCAGATTGACTCAAAGTGGAGAATTTACTGCTTCCCTAAAATGCCTTTATTTTATCTATGATGGTGAATATTTACAAGTACCCAGATAAAGAGATTTGGGTTCCTGAAATGCCACAAAACCTTTTAAGGTGGTCATGTTTATAAGGTAGTGGCTAAGGCATGCTTGAACAACTGTTTTATGAGAATAAGCAAAGTTCACTCAGTGCATACTTTGTTGTAGACTTAAAAAACTCACCTCTGGGAATTTAATTTTTTTTAATATGAAATTATGCTGCATATTACCCATATATTACTCTGACTCAGAAGTGTAAGATGTTTCCTAGAAGTGTACTGAATTCTTCCGATTTCTTTTGGAAAATTTGATATCAAAAGCACTTTATGCTTTTATACAGTTAGTTTAACTATATTCAATTCCTTTAGTACTTCTCTCTGCTTGAGAAACTCGGTTCTAAAATACATTGTGTACTTTGGAGGAAAAGACCAGTCCATGTTGTTAGAGTAAATAATTCTACCTAAAGTAAAAACAGCAATTTTTAAATTTTGATGCATAATAAAAATAATTATAGCTACATTTATCTACTCAAGTCCCATGCACTATGCTAATCATTTGATTTGTATACATGATCTCATTAAATTCCAAAGCAGCCTTAGGAGTTGGGTACTGTTACCTTCATTTGACAGATGAAACATCTAAGCCACAAAAACGTTAAAGTAGACCTACTCAAGGTCTATAGCTAATAAAAGGCTCAGATTAAAACTTAAGTCTTTCTCACTCACTGTTTATGTTCTGTACAGTCTCCTTGTTTAACGTTTAAATAGGTCCTTTGTTTTGATAGGCTCATTAGTTTTTGCTTAATCTAATTCTCTTCTCATCCAATGTTTGGTTCTCACTGTAATGTTTAGACTATGAAGTTGATACACAGGATCAGTATCTAATTTACTGTTGGATTTTTTAATGTGCCCAGTGTATAATCATACTTTTTAAATTTGGTTTTTAAAATTTTATAAGTGGTCATGAAATTTTAATTTAATATTGTTTGTATTTAATAGAAATCATTCTATCAAAAAGTTCTCTTTAGTGAGTATTATTTTACATAATTATAGTACTATGCTTAATAATTTTGTATCATTTTATAACAAAAGTAAATGACAACTCTAGCTTGGAAAATACGAGGAAATCAGTATTTCTGCCTTCAAAAACAGACTATTTTAATGTCATAAGTTTGCCAATTCTGTTAATTATTTAATGCATTTGGTAGTTTTTAAATGACTAATGTTGGAGTGAAAATATAGGGAAAATGTACTCAGTGTATTAGCAATAGATAGCCATTTTCACATAATCAAAAATTGCATGTTTAATCTTCTAAAAATTGCCTTAACTCTTTTATTCTTACCACTGATCAGTCCTTTCTCTTTCCAAATTTAGGGGAGAAACAACTCCTCAAGTGTATATGGGAGAGAAACCTGACACATTAGAGTGTAAGAATTGTAATTGATGATTTGGAGCAGTTAGGCTGATAACCCTGGGCTTAACAAGATTGATATTTTTTAAAACTTGGCCCTGTGTACATCAACACTATTATTTGGGTGGTAACAGTAAACTTCAGTTCTTGTGATAAATATCACTTTTAGGGGGAGGGAAAAGTAATTAACCATACTTGTTCATTTTCTAAGTGTTTTAGATGGTTGCAGTCTGCCTCACCGTACAAAGCCAATTTAAATATGAATATAGCACATCATACTCCAAACAGCAAACAACCTCAGAGGAAAGTCATTTATTCAGAAGGCATAGATTTGTGCTAGACGGCAATGATGCATTACAAATATATAATTATTTGCACTAATATTTGAGCAGGTGGAATGGATTAGAACATAGTCAACATTATGCTGCTGATAACATGTATTTTTCTATATTAATATGTACTGTGCAACATGTATTAAAATTGTCAATAATGCATTTTAGCCAAGATACTAATATTTATATTACTATGTTGAAGAAACAGTATCCAACTGAGCCACTTTTAATTTAAAAGTCTGAAACTGGAATTAAGTTTACTTTGAAAAACCACTTAAATTACTTTATAATCATGGGAAGGTCAGTAAAACATAGAATTATCAGTGACTGGTGACTTAATAGGAAGAAGTGTGGAGGGTTAAGAATAGGGCTAGGAATCTGCAATGAGTAAGTTAACTTTCATTTAGTTACAGCTCAGATGAGTGACTTCCTTTTATTTTCACTATTAGCAATCTTAAATGAAGGAAAATGTCTTATCCCTTCCAGAGTATCTTCGTACTAATACTCTAAGTCTGAAGATTGAATGGAACCAACTCCAAGGAATTAATCTCCAGTGGTGGACTTTCAAATTTTTTAGATTAAACTTGGAGAGGTAGGAAGCCTTCTTGATGCCCCTGTAATCTTAAATAAGCAGGTACCTTTAAGTGAGACCATCACTTTTTACCTGCCTATCATTTTAATCTTTTATACTGTGGGTAAATTTGGTTCCTTTGAACTCTGGTATTTTGTTGTGGCAGTTCTTTCAAATCTGCAGCTTTTTGCTATAGAGAATATTACCTAAATGGAATCTGGACAGTGCTGACCTAAAGAGAACTGTGAAACTACCTCTAAGGATATTGTTTGCAAATGCTGTGTGCTATTTAGAGGATTCACATGAAATTATGTGAAAATACTTTATAAGGAGTAATACTAAGTGCCTCTGTATTAGGAGTCTCCAGTAAAATGTACTTTCCTTTTTTGCCACAAGGGGGAGAAGTTATTTTTATAATAATACCTACATTTTTGTTTGATTTTAAAAATAGAACTCACATAGTTTCTCTCTACTGAACAGCACCTATGAACAAATCACTGTCCTAACTAATAGGAAGAATGTGTGTTTGTGTGTGTGTATGTGTGTTTAAATAAGATTGTGAAAGTCATGTGAAAAATTTCTGGGTCAGTTAATGACATAAAACTAAGACAGTTTTGAAGAACTTGTATGTTCACAGTGGACACAGGAATTGGACAAAGTTCATCATCATTAAAATTATGTTTTTGGAGTTATATATCTCATTGAATTACTTTATCAGCTCTTTAAGAATAATCTATTGATTAGTTTTCTGCATTCTGCTTTTTAAAGAAAAAATTTTGAAACAATTTCAAACTTAAAGAAAGGTTGTAAATACTGTACAAATAAAATTTTTCCGCTTTGAGAGTAAGTTGCTGTCATGATGCCCTATCACCCTGCAGTACTTTTATATTTCCACAAAGAAAGAGTTTTCCCATGTAACCATAATACAACCGTCAAAATTAGGAAATTAACACATATTACTCCTTCAGACCCTATCCAATTTTCATTAATTGTCCCAATATTGTTGTATAAAGATACAGTTCAAAATCACATGTTGCCTTAGGTTGCAGTATCTCTTGTTTCTTTCACTCTGGAACAGTTCCTCAGCCTTTCCTTGACTTCTGCTACCCTCAACTTTTGTAAGATTACAGGCCAGTTATTTTGCAAAATGTCTTTAAATTTGGATTTACCTGTTTCCTTATGATTAGATTCTAACTGTCTGTTCTCATTGCATTCTGTTAGGTAGTGCACAATTTCATTTTGCCCCATTTCTGATGATGTTCATTTTGATTACTTGTTTACCTATCAGGCTTCTCCACTATAAAGTTACTGTTTTTTTCTTTTAAGTATTTTTGGGGGGATGTAGTTGAAGCTATGTATATATCCTGCTAATCAAATTTTCAATTTATTGATACCAATATGAATTCATGGTTTTCCAGTCAATGGATTATAATCTGTTGTTTATTTTGAATCTCAAATTGTTCCACATTTAGCCAGTGCAAGCCCCTTCACGTTGGCTCCTATGCCCTTTTGATATGTTGCCATCGTA